CAGGAAGTCGGGTCCTGCGGCGAGGGCGGCGCGGCCGCGCGGGGACCGAGCCTTCCTTATTTATGTGCCCGCCGGCGCTGGCCTCCTTCCTCCGGAGACTTCAGCGACAGTCTCTGAGCCGCCGTCCCCGCGCGTGAGGCACGGAAGGACTGGATGTCAGAACAACGTGGTTATGCCTTGAATGCCAAAGTTTTCTGTTTTTAACCCAAAGAATATCGGTGATTTTTGTCCACTGCCGGGAGAAGGGGGAGCCCAGCGCTCTCGCCATGCAGCAGAGCCCTCGTCTATAAGCAGGCCCGGCCGGTGAGATGCCGACCCCCTCCGCTCGGTGAACGTTCTATCCTATGGATATCGGGCTTGAGATCTGAGACTGCAGAGCAGCGCCGTCCGCACCGGCCCGGCAGCCGCGGCCTCTCAATGCCCGGATTCTTCTGGGACTGCTGTCCTTCCCTGGAGATCAGAGCGGTCCTGTGTGCCATGGGCTGTATTCAGAGCATCGGAGGCAAAGCCAGAGTCTTCCGGGAAGGGATCACGGTGATTGACGTGAAAGCCTCCATCGACCCCATCCCCACCAGCATCGACGAGTCCTCCAGCGTGGTGCTCCGCTACCGGACGCCCCACTTCCGGGCCTCGGCCCAGGTGGTCATGCCGCCCATCCCCAAGAAGGAGACCTGGATAGTGGGCTGGATCCAGGCGTGCAGCCACATGGAGTTCTACAACCAGTACGGGGAGCAGGGCATGTGAGTACTACTCAGGGACACGCGCCGTGGCCCGGCGTGGGGACCCGGGGGGAGGGTTTAGAGATGCCAGGGGGAGAGGGGTCTGGGCGGGGCCAGAGGGGAGATTCAGGCAGGTATGGAAGAGCCTCTGAGTCCTTCTTGGCCAGTGACTCCTGGAGGATTTGCCTGTTGATACAGACTGGGGTCTTGGCTCTGGGACCTATCTTGCCACTGTCCCAGGGTCCGAGGTTTCTGTGTCCTTCCCTGCAAGATGCTGAGAAAGCAGAGGTCCTTCCGCACGCCTCTTTGGCAAAGCAGGAGTGTCAGTGCCGTTAGGGGTCACCAAAGAGGCTACAGCTCTGCCCCCCGGCTCAGGCCGGGGGGAGGGGCCTGGGAGGGTAGAGATGCCAGGGGGAGAGGGGCCTGGGCGGGGCCAGAGGGGAGATTCAGGCAGGTATGGAAGAGCCTCTGAGTCCTTCTTGGCCAGTGACTCCTGGAGGATTTGCCTGTTGATACAGACTGGGGTCTTGGCTCTGGGACCTATCTTGCCACTGTCCCAGGGTCCGAGGTTTCTGTGTCCTTCCCTGCAAGATGCTGAGAAAGCAGAGGTCCTTCCGCACGCCTCTTTGGCAAAGCAGGAGTGTCAGTGCCGTTAGGGGTCACCAAAGAGGCTACAGCTCTGCCCCCCGGCTCAGGCCGTCCTGCGCACACGTGGCAGACACTCAGGGCCCTCTAGGCCTCCATTCCTCTTGGTTCAGGGCTTTGTGGTTGGGCCTCAACGTGGGTCTCCAGGGTTTTCAAATGCGCATCAGGACCTGGAGGAGTGCTTTGCTGTTGGAGAGGACGGGTTTTAGAAACTTGGTTTGCTTTGCAATGTGGAACTTTCTGTCCCGAGGCAGCCATCGAACGTCCAGTGTCCTTCCAGTGGGGCCCTAGGTAGGAGCAACTAAGAGGAGCCCACTGGCCTCTCGTCTCCAGCCAGTTCCTAGGATGATGTAGAACTCAGTGGGGACCCTGGGATCCTGGGTCTTCTTCTCTGGCCTGTTCTCTGACCCCAGAGAAGGCCATCCCCGGTGGTAGAGGGAAAGGGACTTAACTTGAAGGGTTGCCCTAAGACAGGGGCAGCAAAAGGAGCTGTTTCCCAGCACAAGGACCCTTCTGAGAGAGCTAGGTGGGCCCCGAGGGGCAGACCCCCACTTTGACCCCCGTGACTGTCCATGGACACTCTCCTGTAGCCTGTCGTTCAGTGTCCACCCTCTGCAACATCACTTCCCGGTTTGGCAAGTGAGGAAGAGAGAGCAGAATTGCCCCAGGAGTTGGAATTCATCACTGATTTAAGAACGTCATGGGGTGGCGGGTGGCTGGACACCAGATCTTGTGACTTCCCCACTTGATGACTCCAAAGTTCTAAGGCAAAGACCTTAGAAAGACTTAAGACCAGGGTGTAACCATGATCGCTCCAAAGAGGTGCAGGTGGGTGACACTCCTCGGGTCCCCTCCAACACCTTGGTTTCTGCACTGAGCCCTGCAATGCTCAAGAGCAGCTGTGAATCTAATTCGGGGTGGGGGCAGGGGTTGACTCTCCATTCTGAGAAGGGAAACATGATTCTTAGTTATTTGATGAGGACCTTTTCTAAGAAGACTAAGGCGGAGAAACCTCCTCTGGCTTTGGAAGGCATCCGGGACAGTTGTCAAGAAACAAAGGTTTTCCTAGGGGTTTTAGGCTCAGCCCAGTTTCTTCCCTAGAAGGAGTAGGGAAGGCAGAGGGTCCTTCTAAACTTGGAAAGGCACGAGCCCAAGGTGCAGACCTGGCTCTCCCTGACTCAGAGCCTCAGCTTCCCGATCCGTACATGGGGGTTTCCAGCTCCTTCCGGTGCCTGGGGCCGTGTTCTCCATTTGGTGGCTCTGAGTCCCTTTGGGCACTGGTGCTGGAGACAGGCCCAAGTGAGGAACCTGAGTCGATGTCACCCTTGCTGTGCCAGTCGTCGGTTCCTGGTTAGAACAGCCTCATGCACGCTTAGACTCTGTGATCAAGCAGACCTGGGCAGGAGGCCAGGCTCTGTCACTTCCCAGGGTGTGACCCTAGGCAAGTTCTTTAACCACTCGGGCCTCAGTTTGCTCATTTGCAAATGAAGGCTAATAGTATAGCCCCTTCCCCGTGGCTTATTGTGACAATTCCTCAAGACCACATTTGTCAAGCGGTCAGCACTGGGCCGAGCTCCCGTTGGTCGTCCTTAACGTTGCTGTTGTACCAGGGGGAGAGCGATGGTCCTGCACACGTGGACGATTGTGGCTGGACTATGGAATCAGGGCAGATGCCAGCCCCTGCTTGTAATCAGTTTTCTCCCCCAGCCCAGGTCTTCCTCTGTCATAGAGAGCCCACTCTCTGACTTTTCAAAATTTAAAAAGAATGTGAGCGCTTTGAGTTTTAAAGAAGCTGAAGGCCATCTTCCTCGCTGTCCCTTTGTCCTCCCCCTGTTGGGGCACCACTTCCGGGCAGGGCCCTTTCCATGCTGCCCAGCTCACTCTCCCTGGATGCACTGGGTTCTCATGCCAGTTGGGATGGGACCTGCCCCGGGGAAGGGCTGAGCTGAGGCTCCCTGGGAGGGGCAGCTCGGAGCGGTCATGGGAGCGGTGCTGGCTCTGGGGCCTTGGCAAGGCAGCCTCGGAGGGTCCCTTTTGTCATCTGCCAATGGGGATAAGGAGAGAACTCCTGTACGCTGCTGTGAGGACTCAGTGGAAGGACAGGAGTAGGTGACCATCCTGTGGCTGAAAGGCAGAGGAGGAAGCTGCTTGACTGCTCATTATTAATCAAAGGCAGCCTCGGAGGGTCCCTTTTGTCATCTGCCAATGGGGATAAGGAGAGAACTCCTGTAGGCTGCTGTGAGGACTCAGTGGAAGGACAGGAGTAGGTGACCATCCTGTGGCTGAAAGGCAGAGGAGGAAGCTGCTTGACTGCTCATTATTAATCAACCGAGTTGTCTAAGGGAACTGAATTGCCGACTGGTACAGTCCCTCCAATCCGTGGGCAGAGCCCTGTGTTCGACCCGTGCCTTTTGGAAATGAGAAGGGCTCCTGTGGAAAAGGCCTGAACAGGGTCCGACATCTGGCTCCCTCCTGAATGTAAACAGAAGCATTTGGATGGGATTTTAAAGACCCTTCCCATCTTCCCTACCCTAGACCTCTTGGAGTAACTACTGTCTTCCCAGTTTTTAAGCCTTATGGCATGGAAGAAAGTGGGGTGGTGAGTGGGTGGGATTGCCCAGAAGCCTCAGCCAGCCCGCAGTGGTCCTCCTGCTGTGCCTGGACCACAGTGGGGCCCTTCTTCATGCAGGGGCTGGCCTGTGCATGGTGGGTGTTGGCTCCGTTCCTGGTCTCTCGGGCAAGTAGCACCCCCCACGTGGTGACAACCACGGGATGTCTCCCAGACATGGCCCTATGTCCCCTGGGAGGAGTGTGAAATCACTCCTGGTTAAGAACCGCTGGACTCAACCCAGACAATTCAAAGCATTAAGATGAAACCCAGGCACTGGCTTTAGTGGCCCGGGAGGGGACAGCGGGTTAACCTAAGCAATTGAGCGAAGGCCAGGCCAGGGCTTCCATTCCTCACGAATGGGCTGGTATTCAGAATATTAATTCCAGATACTTAGTCAAAATCCATAATACCCCCAAATGTTATCTCTGCTTGAAGTTAATCTCTAAGCCAGGAGGAGAACTTTTTAGAATGACATTCTGGATTTGAAATAAACCCTGCCACCTCAGTAATACCCTGACCTGCACAGACAAGAGCTGGGAACGGCGAGTTTCTCTGCACCAGCTTAAGAGGACTCTATGCAGTTTTGGGTCCAGCCCACATTGCTTTAAAAGCCAACCCCCCCTCCAAATTGTTGGAGACACCTGCCTCCACAACCCGTCCTCCGCAATTCCTCAACTGCCACCTGTCAGCTGGCACAGAGTCTTCTAAGTGACAAGTCACAATTTCTCGCCTGTGTGGGAGACACTTTACATTGTCCCCAGTTTGCCCTTCTCTGGGGTCCCCAGGAAACCTGCCCCATGGCCAAGACTGAGGCCAAGGGCAGTTTATGGCTCAGGATTCTGCCAACAGGTAGACTTGGGGGTGAGGTCGGGGAGGGTCTCTTTGGGTTGACAGTGCCCCTGCCCTGCATACATGTCCAGCAGGGTGTGGACCCCAGCTCCACACCCCTGGGCCAGTCTCTTAAACTGTCTGAGCCTCACTGTTCCCATCTATGAAATGAGGATCCTTGTACAAACCTCATATGTCGTTTTGAAGTTTAAATGAGATGGTGCATGGTGAGAGCTTAGCCCAGTGCCCGGTGCATACTCGGCACTCAATACGTGGTCGTGATCAATACCGTAATTATGAGATGTACTTACTAATAATTTACTATTCATTATGCCACGCCTGGCAGAGAGTCAGATTGCGGTATTATTGTGGTGATGTTATCCCTTCTCCTGGCTTTCAGATACCTGTCTAGCATGAGAGCCTTGGGCTGTGAGAACTCTGGGGGTCTTTCTGGCCAAAATGTGCTGACATCTGATGTCACAGACTTACGAGAGGCTGGTGGGACAGGGCAGGCAGCGGTAGGGGAACACCAGAGCTGGGGTGCACCCAGCCCTGCTGTGATGATGTTGGGAATGGCTGTCTTCGGCTCCCTTTCCACTATGTTAGCTCCAGGTGTCCTCCCCAGGACCTCATGAGGTCCTCACTTTATGACGAGGACACAGCCTGAGACCTGAAGCTGCTTGCCCACAGAGGCTTGCTCTGCGCCAGCACATCTGGGGCCGGGCAGTGGAGGAATTCCCTGGTGACCACGTGGCCTCTTCCTGCAGCCGGGGCCTGAGCTTCAGGCTCCACTCAGAACAATTGAGGACAAGGCTTCCTCTCTGTGACCGGAAGGTGGCCTCCCCCATCTGCCAGGCCCTGGCGGAGGCCAGAGTCGGGTGGGGGGAGAGGGAAGTCCTTGTTTCAAAGCTCTGGGGTGGGAGGAAGTGGGGCGGGAGATGGCCCAGCCCAAAGAGAACTCTCCCTGGACTGGCCCGGCCAAGCGATCGCTGCAGCCCTCGGTCACCTTCCGAGTGTGGGAAACAAGCTGGCTGCGCCCGGAGACATGCGAGAAGGCACCAGCAGCCGTTGGCATGAGAGAAATAACAAGTTAAATACTGAGATCGTTTTTTTTTACTGATTGGATCTGGGTGAAAATGTAAAAGCTTGGTCGTGCCCAGTGTTCGGGGAAGGGGAGCCCCTCACCTGCTGTTTGTGGGAATGCAGTTGAGGCAGCTCTGCGGTGAGCTCAGCTACACCTGTTACAACCTCCCCCGTGCACGCCCTTCAACTCTGCTGTTCTGCATGTAGAGCTCGTCTTACGTCCCCAGCCCAGGGCCCAGCATGTCGGAGGCGACAGTCTTCTGAATGGATGAATTAGTGAACGTGAGAATGGAAGAGCCAGTCCCTAAAGACTCATGCATGTGTGAGGATGTTAACTCCAGCGCCGTTCCTAATAGCAACTCGAGGGGTGAAATTATGGTCTGTCTACAGTGCAGGGAACAGCGAGGCTGCTGCAAGTGACCAGGAGGAGCTATGGACAGACGCTCACACGTGGGAAAAGGTTATATATGGTTGCATTAAAAAAATATGGTCAAACAATATTTAGGGTAGAGGAACCCATTTTTGTTAAAAAGAAAACACTAAAAATGGGAACATATCCTGTGTGTATATGCAGACGGAAAGGTCTAGAAGGATGTTTACCCAAATGTAATGTGGTGAGTAGCCTGGGGGGAGGGGCGGCATGGAGGAGGTGGGTTTCGGTTCTCACTCATGCCTCTTCGTGGCTCCGTTTTTTTTTTTAAACGAAAAGCACACGTTTTATAACTAAAGACTAAAACAGGCACTGTTGATCTTTCCTCTTCATGTTGGGCCCAGGGCTGCAGCCGGGGTCACGAGGGCGAGGTGGGCAGGAAGAGGGTGGCCCGGAAGAGTGGGGCTTGTTTTGGGGGAAGCTCCAGGAGCAGGCCCTGAGGGAGGTGACAGCTGCAGCCCCTCCCTCGGGGCTGCGAGCCGGTGCTTGCTGGGGGAAGCTCGGTGAGCAGGGCCTGGTGACCTGGGCTGGGGAGGGACAGCCCAGGAGCTGCATGCAGCGTGGGTGAGAGGGAAACAGGGAAATCAGGATCCCAGGCCGGCATGGAAGTGGGGCTCCTGGGCCTCGGTTTCTGTAAAATTGTAAAACTTTGTACAGAATGTGTACTCTGCACATTTTACCAAATTGTAAAATCTATACAATTGGGGACCAGGTGAGATAATCACTGAAATCCCACCTGGCCTGTGTGAGGGGATTGAAACCAGGGCTGGGCAAGACAGTCCCCTGCCTTGGACAGACCCTTTGCCCTGGAGCCTCAAGTCCTTATCTGTAAAAGTCTTTCTTAAAGTGCAGAATGCTCACTGCTTGTGGGAGGTGAAATAATATTTGCGTGAAATCACTTAAGGCTAAATTTTACTTCGAAGTAACATATTTAATGCATAATAGAAAATACATCTACAGAGTATATATCAATATCTATATATCTATATTCTAGCATTTCCAATCTTTAACTCAAAGGTGTTTCTTAGGAGAGACTAAATTTAGTTGAGTTTTTAAAAAAGTGATTAAGGGAGACAATTAAATGAGTAAGAATCCAGGAGACATGTAGTCAGGACCAAAATGCAGAAAGAGCTGTGATGTTTGATAAACTCGACGAATTTAGTTGAGTTTTTAAAAAAGTGATTAAGGGAGACAATTAAATGAGTAAGAATCCAGGACACATGTAGTCAGGACCAAAATGCAGAAAGAGCTGTGATGTTTGATAAACTCGACATTGAAACAAAATGGACTTGGATCTTCTGGCTCCAGAGTCCAGAATTCTGTCCTGGAGCCTG